AAAGTGGATAGAAAAAGCCTCACAACTGAGTTGGTAGGCATAAAACCCAACGGTGAATAACCGGGAGAAGGAGGGGCGAAATTTAACCAAAAATGTGTTAAATCCGTTTCAGTGAATTCGGTAGCACAAAAATCAGTTCGAAACTGGTAAACAAATGCGACATTTGAGAGGAAGATATGCAGAAATGGGAAGAGAGAGTGATTTTTGGCAGAATAACATGGGAGAACTTTTCCTTCTTGCTGCAGACTAATTCTATGAATTGCAAACTACTCGATTTCATTCAGGAAGTATCAAATTGTAGTGAAACTGGTGTTATTCTTGACATTTCCAAAACCAGAGGGACTATTGATGTACAGCTGTATATGCTCTGGACATGGAGCTGCAGCTTTGCGCATATAGTTCATATTTTTTCGCACACCGATCTGACATACGTTAACTTTGCAGCACTGATCATAGTCTAAACATGCAGGTTAACTTTGCAACATTGGTCTTAGCCTAAACATGCTTGCTCCGATTCAATCGGTGTTTCTCAGGTTGTTAATCATCCTGCAATCCTAGGATGAACGTAAATTCGAAATAAATAGAAATATCATTGTTTTCTCATACAGGAGTTTTGACAGTCAAGTCAAAAATTCGTCAGCTTTATGAAATTTTCAAAACTTGTTGAGTTTCCATGATGAAAAGCAGTGACGGGTGTTTTTTTCCGTCGCCTTTTTTTTTCATACATGAAAAAATAATTCATTTCTAATAACCTTTGTACAGAAAAACATAAACAGTTGTTAACGCCGAGGATACCGGTGCAAGCATGTGTTTTTATACGATCTTGTGCAGTATCAAAGTTGTTTGAATCCCTTCCCATTGTTTCTTGCTTATCGTGCAAATTTACTAAAAAATATGTTCTTCGATATACTGTAGATAAAAGCAGTTTCATGGCCGTTTCCTTCGAGGTTCATTCCCAGTGCCTTACTCTATGTTTTTGAGCAATCGGTATATAGCAGTTGGAGCCGTTCTCATAGGATGGGGACTTAGACGAAGACCATACTTACAAAATTTCAGCTTTCTTGATTGCCTGCTTTCCAAGAGAGAAGGATGCTGACAATTTTACAGGTTGAATTTTGATGCGTCCGAACGTACTGCACAGGCTTGTGTTCCTGAAAGCTCATTTCGAGCTTGCAGACAAACATCTTCACAAAAGTGCAGCTTCTGCTTGGTCTCGCTACCGAGTTAGAAGAATGCCAGCAGTGTCCCACTTTAAATTTTCGCTTATGCATATGCGAAACGTAGACGTGATTCATTGTAAATTCATGGGCAGGAAACATGTTTGTGAAATTTCAGCTTTCTATTTTAAGTGGTTTTCCAGTTCTGTTTTTGTAGATTTTTCTTTGATTTCTGTATGCGACACGTAGACGTGCATGAAAGTTGAATTTAAACTGTTTGAAAAGCGTATGGGCAGAGTGTACACTCGTAAAATGTTAGCTTCCTATCTTGTTTCCAAAATCATTAGATAACGCTATTGCAGTTTCGGCCTCCACATATCTGGGCATTGATGTGAGATGCATTTGAGGGCTGTTTTTACATTTCTGGATCCGAACATGGGTCGGAAATATTGTCATAAAAGTTGAGCTTCCTAGCTCGCCTAGTTGTCCACTTGAAAGTGAGAGGAACAACCCTAAAGTACACACACGCACACATATACAGAGAGCCTCTCGACAATTTTTTGTTTTACATTTCATCAGTGACGCAAGGACGCATAAAAACCACTGTTTTCAAGAGTTTTTAGTAAATTTCAGACTGTAATGTAGCCCAGACTAATATCTTGACGGTCGGCATTCACTGAAGAATTCATCAAGAAGAGCATCTTCATAGCTGGGTGGGGGTGAGGCTCCATACTGGGCAGGCGGATTTATCGAGTAAGTTGGTGGAGCAGTAGTGCCGATTATTATGGAATCGCTCATCTGACCACTTGAGCTGGTCTTCCGCAGTGCTCTTTTTCGCTGTCGCATACTTCGGGCTTCTGCAGTTAAAACAGGTTGATATAAAAATTATGCGGAAGTGCTGTTCGGTTGAACATAAGAAAAGTACGCAGTAAGCTGAAAAGTTATAACCGTGAAAGTTGAGAACTGAACGAAAATAGACAACTTCAAAAATGTATCCAGTATAAGCACAAAATTTCTTCCGCGCTTGTTGGCAACTACTACAACTCGACTCAATTGGGTCGTGCAGCGTGTACTCATTTTTGGATTCAGGACCGAACTACAAAAGACGTGGTACTGGTTTCTTGTTTAGATAAGGTTCTAGGTGTCGCGTTCAAGATTGCTGACTTCCCCTCAGCATCAAATTTCAGGCTAAGCATGGGAAACCCCTAGAACTATCCTCCCTCCATAAATCCCCCCCCCCCTGCCTTCAATTCCTGCCTCCAAGCTGGGTTTCAGCACTTTTACAGCCAATAAACCCGGCCCCTCCCCTTCGTCACTACTCCCGAAACCTTGAAAAAACAACCAACTTTCAATTGTTCGGAAGTTTTTCTCACGCAAACGTGCCGTGATCCTCTGCACAACACGACGTGTGCGTCTCATTTCGACGATTTTATCCAATTCCCACTGCTTGCACTTGTGAATTCCAACGATCATTGCGACGACCATTGCGATGCAGAAAAAAATTGTTGGCAGCACGATAGTTGTAACGACGTCACTTGAAGGCACATAATACGCTGCTCTGGGCAGTGGTATACGATGTCTCGTTTGATTTCCAGCAATCCCGATACTCATACTCATCTGTGTTTATGCGATGTTTGCTGGTAAAAATAGCTACCAGAAATGCTCCACGAATAAACTGTTTTGGTGCTGCATCACTCATGTACATCGCAAGTTGGTAAACAGATACATTGATCCTAAAAGCACAAAAGAAAAGCATCGTTTACAAGCAACGTCCAAAGGAAATCAACAGTAAACGTCTCTGATAAGAAGCTGATATCTGCCGACAAAGTCATACGTGCTATTTCTACGCTCTTTACAGAGAGTGAAATCTGTGGATTTCATTATTACTTGACAGCTTAACTGTTTTGACCGTAATACCGCTCCAAGGTTAATTGGTGCTCAACTTGGTGATTCACTTTCACTGAACATCAGCCAACAGCCTGTTGCTATAACGAAATGCCACCATTTTTTAGGCCTTCACCTGTTAGGGGATTATGGTTTTTGAACATATCACCCCCATTCTAGTTTACAACTTCAGCAATTTTAGCGATTTGCTTCCATAAACACACTCAACGTGTATAGGGAAATAAAAATAACGCTGCGCTTCTTCAGATATGAAAAACATTAGTTTAACGTCAAAATTAAGCGAATTTCGAGATCCATAGATATGATGGTGTAGCAATGAATCGAA